TCATCTGCATTGGGCAGTTGGATTGATCCTACTTCTTCTGTCCAATGTGATTTCTAATCCACTGATAATCCCTCAGTGAGGCCTCCTGTGAAAGTCCTAGGTTGATAGAGTCCGCCAGACCCAGGGTTTAAACTACTTGTGGTATCATCGACTTAGAGATAATACTTACGGAATAAAAGGCAGTGATAAGAAGGTGCCCAGAATGGGAAAGACTTCCTCTCCCAACCTTTCCTATGCCTCAGGTGGCTTGTTCATATGTAGGCAGGTATATGATAATGTGATAGACAGATTTAACTCTCTGGGCCTCTATTTGTGCTAAATGAAATGAGGTCAAGGGGATTTTTTTCTTTTTCAGCAATCTTTATCATAACGATTCTTACAACAGCACAGGTCTCTGTCTAGCAAAGAGGAATCAAATACCACTGGCTATACTCTGATTTTTTTTTATAGATAAATGCATTCTATTTATTTATGTATATAGAGTTGGGATGTAGGCTAGAGGTGTGCAGACAGGGGAGGATTCACCAGAGACAGAGTGAGGAACAAAACAGGCAGATCCACTGAAACACTGCTGAGGGAAGTAGTAGGTGAGACATGAGAGCTCTGTTGAGGGTCGGCTTCCTTGCTGGATATCAAACTCTTGCTGCAGATAGCTTATAGTGCTGAGACTTAACTCCTTGCACCACCAGTGAGGCCCTAGACTCTAATATTTTAATGGAGAAGACATTAATCTTGTGTTTGACTTTAGGTGGACAGTCGACTGGACAGCTTTGGTGACTCCCGAGAGAAGATTGTGGCATTTGGCTTTGATTACTGCTACTGGTCAGTCAACCCAGAGGACCCCCAGTATGCTTCTCAGGATGTGGTAATATTATTTTTCCTTCATTATGCTCAGTTCTTCCTAACTATATAGTTATCAGGCAATTAATGTGGAATCTGGGCCCCGGTAATTTCTAATGATAATTTTGTCAGAAACTAATGATGTTTTGATCTGAGAAGAGGTGGTGAGAGGCACTGGCTACAGAAAGAGCAAAGGAGATGAGGAAAGGCTGCATGCTCAGTGCTCAAGTTGGCTAGTGTCTGTTTACACTTAAGCCTCAGCACAATTCAGGTGGGTACAAGTTAGTTCCGGTAGTATTCCTCTCCCATGCAGGTAAATGGTTCACCTATCTCAGAGGTAGTCTGGTGCTGTATGCAGCATGAGGGCTCAGGAATCCTAGTGGCCATTCCCTTCTTTGAGCTTTGGGCTTTGCTTGAGGGCTCAGGAATCCTAGTGGCCATTCCCTTCTTTGAGCTTTGGGCTTTGCTTGAGGGCTCAGGAATCCTAGTGGCCATTCCCTTCTTTGAGCTTTGGGCTTTGCTTGTGCACAGATTTAGTGTAAAAGAACAGGGAGGGGTAAGGTAGTCTGCCCCTGATGGTATGTAAGAGTTGAATTCTACTTACCTGAAGTCCAGCCAAGGCTTTGGCAGCTAAGATTGCTTGTTGCCCATCTTGTGTGGAATTCTCTACAGGTTTCTGGCAGCAGGGCTGGCCAGGTGGGTCTATAGGACTGCTTTCTGCTTCTGTGAGACAGAAGCATTGTTCTGGGTTGAGCTCTGTTGAATATCATGTTGGCCCAGGGTGTCCAGCAATCCTTGCCTTCACCCTTATTGCTACCAGGATTCTTTCTGTGAAAATCCTAAAATTAGAAAAATTATCTTGGCCTTTCTTAGGTCAATATCATCATACTTAAAAAAGAAAGAAAATGCCTTAGAGGAATATGTGTTTTGGAAATGGGAATATTTGAGGGAAACTGTTGGGGACTGGCTTCAACACACTGCAGGGGACAGGGTCTTTAGGTGGGATCCAGCATCAGTGTGTGGAGATTCCAAAAAGGACGAAAAGGGAGCAGGAGCAAGGAAGATACGGGAATGGGAGTTGGGTGCAAGTCTTCCTGCTCATTTTCTCAACAGGTATTTATTTATACTGTGTAGCAAGTAGTTAATTACAATAATGCATAAGGTAAGTTAATGAGAAATCGCCATAAATTACCATAAACATTCTCAAGGAAGAGGGGAACAAAACATTCTCAAGGAAGAATGGCCACTATACTACATTATACACATTTGTGATAACTGTCATGGATGTTTAACTATAACTCAAAGGATAAGGGGTCTGGGAAAGGATGAGCTGTTAGCAAAGGATTGTTAGGGTCTTAGGGAAGGAATAAATCGCATTAGAGTCATCAGTGATTGTCTAAAGAGAAGCTAATGATTAGTTTAAGGCTAGCAGAGTAGTTAGTGTTTGTTTTAGGAAAAGGTTAAGACTAGCAGAGAGTAGTTAAAGATTGTTTAAGAAAAGGGCAAATTAAGAGGAAGTCACATAGTCATACATTAAGCTAAACCTGTGTCAATAATGTTAGGAAATTGTCCATGAGTCCTTATACCCTGGGAGTTTATCAGAAGTTTGCTTTTTGTTTCAAAAGACCAAGGAAGCTCCCCAGGAGTCTTGATGCTCTGGGGAGTCTTATCTCTGGAGTTTGCCTTTTGTCTATCGAGACAGGAATTTCCTGCCCTGAGGTGGCTAGTACTTTGCCCTGGCCAGGTAGCCAATTTATGTAGCTAAGGCAAGCCAGTTGCAAGCTGCTGGTTGCTCAGAATATTTTTGATATTATGATTATACAAAAAAGGGAGGTTGTAACATAAGTTAGCAATGGAAATGCTGAGTTTTTTCAGCTTTCCCTTCCATCTGGAATTTGTCAGTTGACAGAACTTGCATAGCTTGTGTCAGGGAACTTTGGATGACTTTGTGTTTTCATCTGTATACTTTTGAATAAAGAGCCAAAACATGTTTTCTTCTAAGTTTTTTAGTCTTTTATAAAAGGTAACCCCAAGGAACAACATTATTATGTTTGAGTGACTTAGAGAACAATACTAATTTTTCTGCTAATGCAGACTTCTGAAGATGGTTGGATAGCTCTAAACCATGGAAGTGTGATCACTCCATTTTTTTTTCTTGCTTAGGAGTGCATGTAGAGACAAGACTCTTGACCACATGGCTTTCTTGTCTCTGTTGGACCCTTCTGTTATAATACTTAGCCCCTACTTTGTAGTCAAAATATGTTTCCTGTCAGTGCTCAGCAGAAAATAAGCACCAATGATATATATATACATGATATATATATACCTGGTCCTAGCAGGTCTTCTCCATCCTTGGGATGGATGAGGACACCGGCAGGTCCAGGCTTGTCTTGTGGTCCTGCTCTTTATCCAGCATGAAGTATCTGGTTGCTGGTATGTGTAACAGTTCCACTGAAATCCATCAAGAAGAGACAAGGAAGGAACTGACTCTCAGTAAGAGGGTGGGATTCCTACAGCAGTTCACAGTTGTAACTGTTTGGCATAGAAGACAGTGGTGTAATAGCAGTATGAGCATTTTGATGGTTATTTCAATTCTCCTGGTGATAACATTCCTAGCTCTGTTCTATACATTTGAATAAACTTTTACTCTTTAAGACACCAATAACCTTTGATAGATCAAAGGAAAGGGGTGTGTCTGTCTGTCTGTCTGTGTAAATAGCAGAACTACATATCTTATCTACCTATATGATCTATCTACCATATGATCTATCTATATCAAATAAGCTTGGGAATGAGCTTGGTGCGAGGCATATGTTATACATTTATGTAACTTGAATGTATAAAAATAATTGAGTGGAAAGTCATAAATATGCTTCTGCTTTTGTTGCCTTATTTGAAGTTCAGTGAAAAGACCCAATGACAGGAAGTCTGTGCTGAAAGATAAAACTAGTATCTCCAGGGGTTTGTTTTGGCTTGTTTATTTATTGTCTAAAGCACTCATTGGTTTGACGGGACATCAGGATAATAGAGAAGGAAAGGAACCTCTCTGTCACAGGCAGAGTAGGGCCAAAGGTTGCAAAGAGGGACAGGACTCCTATCCATGAGATCTGGTGAGAGGGATCCATTGTTTTAACATAGAAATGAGAACCTGGACTTCACACTGATCGCTGTGACTGAGGTCACCATGGATACGAGAGGCTGACTGCTATACAGTACAGTAATCCTTTTTACAGTATGTGTGATCACATTTAGGCAGGTGAGGGAAGAGGGATGAGTTTTACTGAAGTATAATGTAGACAGTGTAAAAATATATCATTTTAGTGTACAGTACTATAAGTTTTGAAAAAATTACAGTTGTGTGGCTGACACTATAATTAGTATATAAAACAGTCCGTTATCCCTAAAATCTTTTCAAGTCTCTCTGTAGTCAAATTACAAAGCAGTATAGTAACTGCTTTCTGGGAACTACTGATCTGTTTTCTGGACCTACAGTTTTGTCATATAATTGAAATAAAACCATTATGTTATCTTTTAGGTTTGTTTTTCACTTAACCTAAAGTAGTTGATGCTCATCTCTGCTGTTGTATCACATTTTCTTGTGATCTTGATCCAGACTTACTTCAATCATATTTCCCAAAAGAAATCTCCTGGCTTTGGGAATGCTGATTCTAATTGCAAAGGTGAGAAGCCAGGCCCCCAGAAAACTGTGCTTTCATCATCTTTGGGTCTCTTCCTATGGTAAAGAAAGGACCGTTAGCACTCTCAGAAATTTGCACTGATTTCACAGTATCCAAATGGCTAAGGGAAATATTCAACTCTACCCCACTCAGCCTTAATGAGATTTGAGCAGCAGCATAAGAAGCTGTTGATTGATTGATATTAGCAAGAATGTCATCTGTTTGGTGTTGGTGCAGCCTCATCTTTTTTTCTTAAAATGGTAGAGCATAAAGGGAACTTAGCTGTCATCTAGATTGGGGATTCTCAGCATCAGCACTATTGATATTTTCACTGGATAATTTGTTGTTGTGAGGATCTGTCCTGTGCATCATAGGTTGTTTAGGAGCATTCTGCCTCTCTACCTACTAGTTGGTGACCATCAAAAATGTTTCCAGGGTCCTCCCTAGTGGCCCAACAGGTTAGGATGCAGCACTGCAAGCTAGCCACAGCCATTTCAATGCGAGCTCAATCCCCGGCCCCAGAGGTGACCCACGGGGCACAGCAGACCTCTGTCTTGCCCTCTGCTTGTTGATCTGCCTGTTCTTCTCCCTGCTCTGTCTTTGGTGAATCCTCTTACCACCCCTGCACCTCTGACCTATATCCCTGTTTTGTATGCATCAATGAATAAATCTTTTTTTAAAAGTTTCCAGATACTACCCACTAGTCTAGACCAACTCCCTTAAGTTACAGATATAGCCACAGACTTATATCAGGATATACAGGTAGTTAAAGCAATACTGGGCCCATGCGTCCCTTTCATTGCCCTTTGTCATCCTACCTTCCTCTTTTTATGTTTATTTTATAGCCTCAAAAGATAGTTTCAAATTTAAATTCCCTGTAAATTTCCAGTCTCTGTGGAAAACAGTGTGGAAATTCTTTAAGAAATTAAAAATGGAAATACCATATGATCCAGCAACACCACTGTTAGGTATTTATTCCAGGGATATGCAAAAATTGATACAAAAAGATTATGCTGTATATTCATAGTAGTATTATTCACAGTAGCTAAGACATAGAATCAACCTAGATGCCTGTAAAAGATGACTGGGTAAATTGTGGCATGCCTAATCATTGGAAATTACTAAGTCATTAAAAAATATGAAATCGTGACAGTTGGGAAAATATGGAGGGGTCTTGAGGTGATTATACTAAGTAAGATAATAAGTCATAAAGTGAAAAACAACATGATTTGTCATTGTGGAATATAAATTGCCAAAACTCAACAAAATTGCTCTGAGTCTCTGGAAACTGTTGGTCTCTGGTGGGGAAAGAGGGAAGGAAGAAGAGCACAGAGGTCACAGATGTGGG